TTCATAAGCATGTGGCGCTCCAAGCCTCCCTGCCTTGGAATGAGTACGTGTGTGACATGCAGGCCCAGAAAGCACACATGCCTGCCTGCAGCCGAGCGCTTCCTTTAGCGTAAGAATGAGAACTTGCCTCCTTGCCTTGGAAACAGTGCTTACGTGTGTGGCGTGCAGGCCCAGAAAGCATGCATGCCTGCCTGCAGTCAAGCACCACTTCTAGAGTAAGAATGAGAACTTGCCTCCTTGCCTTGGAAAGAGAGAGTGTGTGTGGTGTGTTGGCCCAGAAAGCATGCATGTCTGCCTGCAGTCAAGCACCTCCTCTGGAGTAAGAATGAAAACTTGCCTCCTTACCTTGGAAAGAGTGCATACATGTGTGTTGTGCAGGCCCAGAAAGCACGCACGCCTGCCTGCAGCCAAGCGCCTTTCCTCTAGAGTAGAAACAGGCAAGAAGCCTATTAACTACATCCCATCTCGAAATTTAAGATCATCTGGGGAGGCCCTGCTCTCGACCCCGCCACTATCACAAGTGAGGTTGGCGGGGACGAGGAGCAGGGCCTTCTCAGTGGTGGCCCCTCACCTGTGGAACTCACTCCCCGGGGAGATTAGAACAGCGACTTCCCTTTTGGCGTTCAGAAAAAAATTGAAGACCTGGATATGGGACCAAGCTTTTGGATATTCTGGCAGCTAAGGAAAGATCTGACGATAAACAAGGGCGAACGGAATGGAATGGATAAACGGACTCTGAACACTGAGCATGAGATTGTTTTGCTATTTTACTATGTATTAATGTTTTTAACTTGTTAATCGTTTAAATTGCTTTTATGTATTGTTTGTTTATTGATTTAGGCATCGACTTGTGCCTTCGTTTGTAAGCCGCCCTGAGTCCCCCCTCGGGGGTGAGAAGGGCGGGGTAGAAGTAATTGAAATAAATAAATAAATAAATAAATAAATTAAACTGACTTTTTAAAAACTGACTTTTTTGTAATTTGTATGATCTGTATTTTAATGTATTTTATATTGATGATGTATATTTGCTTTGATCTTATTGTATTGAATCCTGTGTTGTTAGCCGGCCTGAGTCCCTCTCCGGAGGTTGAGAAGACCGGGTTATAAAAAACTCTAAATTTAAAGTGTGCACCTGCCTGCAGCTGAGCGCCTCTGCTCTAGATTAAAACACTTTAAATGCCTAAAATAGTGGGCCGATAGAAAATGGATCATTTGGTACCATAGAGCAAAAACAGATATCTGCCTTCCCAATTTCAGGAGACTCCCAAAAAATGGATTGAAGTCCCCACCGAAAGCCGGGACAGGAAATGGGTAAAGGTTTACTCGGAATGCATAACCCTATTACCGACTGCAACTCAATATAGGGTTCATGTTCATCTTTATTTTAGATGTTGTCAAAGGCGTTCCCTAATTTAAAGACTGTTATTATTTTTTGCCTATATAATGAAAAAAATCCCTGAAAAATAAAGTATTCCGTTAATGTACCTTCTTTTTCAGGTTGATTTTGCTGCCAAAGAGGCAAGAATGCCTTCCACCCAATTTGATTATTTTTTGTTAATGCCTTCCAAAAATGTATCAGCATGTCTTTTTAAATAGATGGCTTTTTTAAAAAAAGAAATAATTTATTTTAAAAGCGTATACTAGAACTGTTCTCCTCCAGATGTTTTGGACTTCAGCTCTCACAATTCCTAGCGGCTGGTAAGCTCGCTAGGGTTTCTGGGACCTGAAGTTCAAAACATCTGGAGGAGCACAGTTTGAGAAAAACTGGTCTAGAGTTACTTAGCAATATTCAATCCCTTGTTATTTCCCAAATATGATGGAAAGATACCCGATTATAGTAGCAACAAATCTACTATACAGGGATGTGGGGATATGAGCTAGTGCTGTTGAGGTCAGAGCACCTGATCTATGTTTTTGAGCTCTGGGTCTGTGGATGTTGTAATGACAAATAGGACTTCATATCCACTTGGGGAATTTCTGAACAATTGTATAAACAATTGCTATATTACAATTTGGAATTGTTGATAGGCAGTCACTAATTGTATCTTAGCTGACTGATGAATAGGACCCAAGTGAATTACTGATGTGCGAAGGCTAAAACTTACTCATTTTTCATAAACTACGGAACAACCTTTATTTCTAACACCTTTAGCTAAAGTGGGTCTCGCATTTATCTCTCTTCTTGACAGGCTATCACACTTCAGTCTTTGGAGTCTTCAGTGATTGCCTTCTGGATAAATTACCAGGAATAAAGACAAATGGTTGTACAGTGGAAGTAATTCCGGCTTTACCTAGATTACAGATCAGTACTTCATTGCCAAGGTAAGGATCCTGAGTGTTCATTTTCTGTGCCCATTGAATGAATCAATGTTTTTGAATGTCAAGCATTTATATGCTGCTATTCTTTATCAATATCCAAAGTGACTTTGCGATGCGCCATGATTGGATTCCATTATAAAAGTAAGGATCTTTCCGATTTAACATGTGCAGAAGGTATTGGGAGATTCTGCTATTGTTACAAACAGTATCAGTTGAAGGCAATCCCATGGAGTCCTGTCTTGGTTCAGAATAGCATTAATTCCATGCACATCTGATACAAAAGGGAATTCAATTTTAAAAGGGGGAAACTTGTTAGCAGCTCCAACTTGTTAACGGCATATTTGAGCAATGTTTTACTGAAAGGAGAGAGCAGAGATTAGACCAAATGAGCTTTTATGAAGAACAACAGATCTGATGTTTCCAATGAGAATTTTAGGTCTCCTAGTTTTGACAATTCAGCTTGTTTCTTGAGCAATGTTTCACATTAGGACATTTCTACAATTACTGGTTCCACATCAGATAGGTTGGAAAAGACATTATAGAATAAGTCTTCTACAAGATCTGAAACAAACTAGGATGATGAATTCAGGACAAACAGTGGACAGAACAAAAGCAACTGGTTGTAGCGATGAACATACGTCTCCACAATGCAGAGGTAATTCATTATAGGGAGAATAGTAAAAGAAAGCTCGAAGTCACACCATAAGTTATTTGGAACTGAAAGTAGTAAGACTGGCATTGCTCGGGCTCTCAAGAGTGATACTGGGATAGGATGTACAGATTCATGTGGACAACATGACTATAACATTGTATACCAATAACCAAGAAGGGTTGAAATCAATACGAGTAGACAGAAATCAATGAAGTCACTAACATTGTATTTGAAAGACTATTCAAAGCAGGCACAAAATCGTATCTCAGAGAATGGGCTTTACTTCAGAAAGAGTTTGTTGAGATTCACAAGGTTTTAGCTCTTTTTCAAGTAGGCTTTTTTGTTTGCTTCTGCAGAAAATTGCAAAATAAACAGATATGTTTCCTTAGATGAGAACAAAGGCACAGAGCAAAAAGATGCATTAATGGTGGCATGGCCACCAAGTCTCATTTATGCGGTTCCAGTCCCACCAATAATTCAGAACTACGCTCTATCAAAAGTATGATTGGAATCGGCAAAACTAGTACTGTTTGATTGCACCATATTGACTGCAACATCCTTGGTTTCCATTATTGATGCAGATGTCCATTGAGAAGCCAGATTTTCTACATCAGGGTCTGGTGCAACATCTCAACCTGCATGGACACTGAAAGAAGAATTTTACTCAACATGATTGTTCAAATTTGGTTATGTATACAGTTTTAGCATCCAAAAGGAACTTTAAACAGTTAGTACAATTGATCTGCCAACTCCGCTTCTGAGTCTGTTCAGGGACTTCCAAGTTGCCCATTCTTGGTTTGCCTCTGGAGGAAAACCCTTGTGGGGGGTCATCCAGTTGGAATTGCCTGGTTTTGCTGCCCATAGGGATATTTTTGCTGCTGCTGGAGGAACATTAAGAGGAGTGGTGGTTCTCATGAAACTTTTCCTTGATTTAAGTCTACTGGGAGGAGGTTGATAATTATATAGTGGGTGGCTTTCACAGTGTTCAACCTTATTTCTCTTGCAATTGGCAGCAACTTCCCATCACACATCCGGGGGGGGGGGGGGGGGGGGGGGGGGGGAGCAATGCCAGCTAGCCTAAAGAGTCTATCAACACATGTAGGATTAAGACATCCTGTGATTATTCTACATGTCTCATTTGGTGCTACTGTTGATAAGTTACCCACATTGTAAGGTGTTTTTAAAAGGGACAAACTTGGTAGCAGCTCCAACTTGTTAGCAGCATAGATTTTCTTCTAGGGATCTGGATTTAATATTTAGTTTTGTGCTAGTAAGAAAACCAATAAACCAATAAAGAAGGCACTGTTTAAGATTGCTCACTTTTAAGGTGGGTTTGTTGGTGACAGTAACTCCTTGCAAAATGGGTGTCAGAACTAGCAGTCCTTTCAATAAATCCAAATTTATGTAGGTTGACAGAAGACATGTTTACCTTTTTGATTCAAATGCATCATAACTGCAGGGTTTCAATATAGAATTCACTTACCAGATGTCTGCCTTAAGCCAAAACATACTATATAGAAGAAATGGCACACTTTAGATGTGAGTAGGACAGTGAAGGCATATATTAAAAGAGGAAGTCACATCAGATATGCAGAGGCACTATTTATATAGTATGTGCTTCTAGAGTAACAAGGATCTGAAATATTTCCTACTTAAAACCATGTTTAAGCGTTGGGAATTTTTTCTTATTCTACACCGAAGAAGAAAAACTCAAATTCCAAAAAAGTTAAATTAAGTTGAATAATAATAACTGATATGGGCAGTATATCATATTTTTTAAAATAATGAAAGGACTGCATATTCTTTTTGCTCACTCTGTTCTGGCTTTAAAAAATGTTTTATGCATTGTTTACTCATGTTGTACCATTTCCCACTATTTTTTGAAGGTCTGCTCACACATTACAGCCTTCCTCGGGAGACGAAATTACCACCAGTGTGTCTGTTCAACTTTATAATGGTGAGACACAGCAGCTTATCATTAAACTGGAAAATATTGGGACTGAGCCTTTGGAGAAGCTGGAGGTTACTTCAAAGATGATCAACACAAAAGGTGTGGGTTTGTTTTTGTGTTTGTTTTGCTTCTATATTTTTCTTGATGCCTTGGAAAGATTACAGGTATTTCAGGAGCTCCCTCCAGTCCAATAATACGCTACAATGCCATGCCATAATAATAAAGTTGAGGAGGAGAAAAAGAAAACAAGAACATTCAGGCATTGGTTTTTCATATAATAGTAGCAGCAGCAACTGAACATAAGACATTCCATGATAAATGGGCTGCAATTGTATAAGGGAATATGTGGAAAAAGTATAAATTGTTGAAAAACATAGACGAAAAATTGTACAGGGCTTTTAGATTCACACTGATAAATAGAATGTAGTATATCAGACACAACTGTGGTTGAGGAAGAGAACGGGAACAGCAGAACTTACGGCTCAGACAGAGGGAAAAAACAACTTTTGAGACCTGCAAAGGAGGTTCAGTGCCTTTGGGAAAAGAGAACTGGGCTTTTAGCAGTTCTGGGTCCCTTCTACACTGCCATATAATCCAGTTTCTGACTTCAGATTATCTGCTTTGAATTGGATTATATGGCAATGCTGGCTCATATAATCCATTTGAAATCAGATAACTTGGAATCAGATACTATATTTTATATATGGCAGTGTAGATCCAGCCCTGGAAGCAATGCAAAGCAAGCTGACAAAGCATCTGTGGAATAACTATTGGTAGGAACACTACTATTCCAAAGAAAAGCATTATTTGCAGCATTACATATTTATCTAGTAATACCTAAACTCTTGTATAGAATCTGAATAGATTACACAGCCCAACCAAAAAAAGGTTTCTTGGTTTTTAGTCCTTTTCTACAGGTTATTTGGGGTGCTGATTCAGAAAATTATATTGGATAGATGTCATCAGCTCTACTTTCTCTAATCATCATGCTTTTCTATGGGCAAGAAGATAAACTTGGTATAAGGCATATGGTCTGTTTTTCAAAAATTAGAGCTGATATGAGAAAACAAGTGCTATGTTTGTAATCATCAGGTCAAATATACCCAGAAACAGGTTTAATATCAAGGCACCACAATATTTTTTGGCCAGTGCTATCATTCAGAATTTATTTATTTACAGTATTTATACCCCGCCTTTATACCCTGCCCTTCTCACCCCAAAGGGGACTCAGGGTGGGTCACAGAACACATATACAGCAAATATTCAATGCCGATTATACAATGATAAGACAGACAACAGATAGAGGTATTATATAGGCTTTTCCCATCTTTCGGCATCTTTGGAGTTTGTGCTCGGATGCGGCCAGAGGGGAGTGCCGTTGCTCCATCTCTTGCCAAAGAACTTGCTTTGTTTGTAAACTTTCCTTCTTTTTTCTGATTGAAACACTGTGACTAAAATACCTCCCCGCTTAATGTGATTCCTATTTTTATCTACTCACTGATTTTGATTCGGAAGGTGAGTGAGGAGCTGGGGTGAAGGTCTGGCACTCACTCTAACCTGGCTTCAAACTGTCAAACGTTTGGTTGGCAAGATTCATTGCAGCTGGTGATTAACCTGTTGTGCTAAAGCTGGCCCTTAATTCCAGTTTGGCAGACTGTGGAACTGTACACGATTCCCCTTTTTTTTGCATTTTTTTTGGTATTTTTGTATTTTTTGGAATTTTTTTTCTTTCTTTCTTCTACCTTCCTACTTTTCTATTTTCTTATATTATTCCCCCTCTTTCGTTGTAATTATAGAAAACTCAATAAAAATTTATTAAAAAAAAACCAAAAAAAACCAAGTGTTGTTGCTCTTGGTTCAAATTGAAATATTGAAACAAACAAGATGGTCCAGATACAAAACAGCAAAAGATATGAGTGCAAAATATCTCTTTTCCATATCCTTGCTGTGCATATCAGCTTGTTATTCATGAATGGGATCCAGAATAAAATGTTGGCGTGTGCAGTGCTTTTTTATAATATGAGGGGATGTTTAACTTTTAAATGTAATTTTAATTGTATTTTAATTGTATTCCAACTTTTGCACCCATTACATACATATTTGTTTATCAATGAAAAGAGTCAGTGTTCCGTGACCACTGTTGATGTGTAGTCCTAACTGAGGTGAGCATTCTACCTCTAAATATTTTCCCTTAAGTTTACTGGGTTCTTCCATTCACCTTGTGTTGCTGAGAGCATGTGTATTTCCTCTCTTGCTAGTTAGTGGCTCCTTTTAGGCTGTATTCCAAGTAAGGTCTGGTGGGAGTTCCAAGATAGGCCACATGTTCTGCACTCTTATTTAAGCAATAAGAACCATAATCAAATCACATCATGACACAGGACTCTAAAAAGAACCCTGAAGGTTTTATACCTCTTCAGTTTCAGAATGTCGTGGAAAATGAGTTTCTAGGAACCTCGTTTCTTGTCTGTGAACAGAGGTCACCTTTCAGTGCAGCATGTCTCATCAATCTTACCGCAGTAGGGATTTTGAACTGTGCTTACTTCAGTCCGAGGACCAAATTTTGAGATTACTTTGGTCCGAGGACCAAAATTTGCTTGAAGTTCCCAACATCCGGACTTCTCATCTGTCCTCGACTAGGCAGAGAGCCTTCTCGATTGTGGCCCCTTATTTATGGAATGCCTTGCCAGTTGAAACCCGAACCATCCGAGAGCTACTTGCTTTTCGGAAAGCCTGTAAAACCTTTCTTTTCCGACAAGCTTTTGATGGGTGAATAACTCGGGACTATATCTGTTTCGCGTTTTTATTGTATTTTAAAGTTGGTTGTATTGTTTTAATCTACTGCTGTAAACCGCTCCGAGCCAAATTGGGAGTGGCGGTATACAAGTCAAATAAATAAATAAATAATAAAGGTGTGAACAAAGTCTCACTTTAAATATGTCAGGAATAAAGCCCCAACTCAGTGGTTCCCCCGACTTCTACCACTGCATTTTAATAACGGGGTTGATTTCCAGATCGGCCCAGATAGGCCACCCTTGTTTTTACTTGGTCATTTCATTTTTTCTTATTTGTTAGTTTGTTGACGGCAGCTCTTTTGACATATAAATTTTTTAACTTCTGCAACATTATTCTAGTTTAATTCACTAACTTCTACGAACATTGCTGATATCCTATCCACAGGCTTTGAACTAATTATGTATAATAAAAATGTGTATTCAACCTTTCTGCTTCAAAGAAAATTTTCATTAACATCAAAATGCATATTATACTAAGGACGTGCTTTGAATCCCATACTTATGATGCCTCTTGCATATGCAAAGTGCATTTCTCATTAAAGCAGCTATGCCTGGGATGAATGGATCTTAGCATGGGGTGATGGTGAAAGGATTTAACTCCTCCCTTTCTGCTTAAAATAGTTTGTCCTCTGAAAACACCCACTGTTTACACTCTAAAATGTTCCTTTTTGAAAATATCTTTGGAAGCATCATGCTGAATGGTTAAGTGGGATGGTTTTACCCTTTTCCCGCAAGGTGGTCCCCACATCCTTTCCCCTTCAGTTACATTCCTCCTGATCGCACCGTTAAAAGGCATTATTTAAGTTAAGACACTTGTAATGGGACTTCATGCAAACTGAGCAATGTTAACTTAAAAAATAAGCTCCATTATGGTGAGGCTTACATCCATGTATGTGTGTGTATATATATTTCAGCCTTTGTCACAACTAATTTTGTTGGGTTTGTGCATCATATTTGCAACTCCTTTGAAGGCTGTATTCAATAAACATGACAATATTGCTCTTGCATTTTAAATAAGGATATAACATTGGCTTCTAAATAACTTGTCAGAAACTTATTTATTTTGACTTATTTCTAACTTAAAGGAACGGGAAAAAATCACACTATTTTGTATAAATTGCTACTCATACAGTAGTAATACTGATGTATAATGTATCAGTATTACTACTGTACAAGTAGTAATGTATTTATTTACTTATTTTCTATCTGTTTCTCAACTCTGGGGCTCAGTTTGAGATAAATATAAATTAAACATAGAAACATTGAAACTTTATGAAGCTAAAAGTAGAGTTAAAAAGCAATTTTGAAAAATAAAGATAATACAGTTCATTATGAGAAGAGTTTTCCCTGTGATTTAGAGCTAGCTTCAAAGGTCTGTAAAAAAAGTATTTGTCTCTTACTGGAAGGACACCAGACTGATCACTCCAGAAAAGGCCTTCCAGATGCTCGGAGCATTCTTTATTCCCACTACATGCACCTGTGGAAGTGGTAGAATAAAGAGAAGAGACTGCCCTGAGCATTTTGCGGCAGAGCAGGATCATATGAGAGAGCAGGGACCTTCAGATAACATGGACTTGAGCCATCGAGAACTTCATCTACCTTAGAGGAGAAAGTTGTAAGCCTTTTGGGCCTAGAAAGCAAATGTACTCATTTTTATATCCATTTCCAATTAAAGTTAAACAAGACATCTGCAACCGCAGCACATCATAAAAAATTAATTCCAGTCGAGTACTATATTTGGTATCTAGGTTAAATTCAAAAGGAGTGACCCATATTTAAGCACACACAGAATATTTGGAAATGGATAATACTTTCACTCTCATATACTTTCAGTTAGGATTTGGCAGATTAGGCAGACTTTTAAAAGCCTTATGTCAATTGAGATTACTATCAAATTGGTAATAACATACTTATTGAGTACCCGAAAACTATTGTTCGGAATTCCAGTTATATGGAAATCATATTTACAAGGCAACTGAAAAACCTGAAACCACAGATTTATCACTCTTGTGATAATTAAAAGCCACTTCCAACAAGCTTACTTACATCGTTTACAGACATTACTTTATTATTCTTTTAGTATTGTAGTTAAACTTTGAGACCAAAATCCTGAAAGGACTTTACACTAGTTCAACTATATGTGATATTAGTAGGCTTGCATCAGGAAGTTTCCTTATGCCAGCAATTCCCAGCAATTCAACATTTTTTCCAGCAACTCAACAGTTTGCCGTCTTGCCCTCTCGGATGCTCCCGCTTCCCACTTGTCTTCGCAAACATATGGCATTTCAGTCATGGAGGCTGAAACTTCATTGGTTCTCAACAAGATTTCAACCTGAAATATGCTATGTAATTTTTTTTCTCCTGCCTGCCTACCTTCAGAAGTAGCTATGTTGAAGATTGCATTGTTTTCTTGAATGGTCTGATATATTGGATGATCTGTCTCTGGTTATAATTACTGTGTATTTTTTTAAAACAGGAAAGCTCTTTGGTGACTTTCTGACCTGGAATCTAGAAGACACGCTCTCGCAATTTCCCCTGAAACCTGGGAGCACTGCTACATTCATTGTTTACATTAAAGTAAAGCTTGATTTCTCCTGCCAGGAAAACCTCCTGCAAGATCTTAATGATGGTGAGTTTTGGGTTCCCTTTCAGGATGATGAGTTATGCTTTTCTTTGAGTAAGAAATGCATTCTGGCTCAGAGTTTGAAGGTTAAAGAAAAATAATATCTTGGAACCCCTTATGAAAAAGTAGTAACATGACTGTAATGGAGCCAATGGCTAACCTAAAAAGTAAAGGTTTCCCTTTGATGTTAGGTCTAGTTGTGTCTGACTCTGGGGGGTGGTGCTCATCGCCATTTCTAAGCCAAAGAGCCGACATTGCGCATAGACACCTCCAAGGTCATGTGACAGGCATGACTACATGGAGCGCCGTTACCTTCCCGCCAAGGCAGTACCTAGTGATCTACTCACATTTGCATGTTTTTGAAGCGCTAGGTTGGCAGAAGCTGGACCTAACAGCAGGAGCTGTTCTTTCTCCCCGGATTCAAACCACTAACCTTTTGGTCAGCAAGTTCAGCAGTTCAGCAGTTTAACCTGTTGCACCACTGAGGGCTCCTATGGCTAAACTAGTTGAGCCTACACATGTTTATAAATGTTTTTCCAGGAGTCCACCAGCTCACTAAGCATTACATATCTATAATTTATTTTATTTGTTATGGGTCTGGAAGATTTTGAAGAATACAACAAATTCTGTGTTGCAAAATTTGATTGAAATATTACAACAGCATACTTGTGCACTTTGAGGAGAAAAGTAGCATATATAAAAGCCAGCCTAGTTTATCAGCATTACTCTCAATATGGTAATTGCCTAAGTAACACTTATTACACCATGTCTCAGAGATGTTACTAATTCAATACTGCAAGAAAAGTACTATCTAAACATGTATCATTTGTGTAGTGAGTTCTGTGGTGCCCCAAACTTCATTCTCTTCTATTATTTAAACAAATTATTCCATATCTAGGTCAGTCCGAGGAAAATCTGGAATGGTAAGGAGGTACTTGTCAGATTTGAATTAGACGTGTTGACTAGTATAATTCAGGTGCATATCAAATATCTATCATTTATTTGCATTTGTTTTATTCAGCTTAAAGGCATAATAAATGATGTAGGAAATCTATGGAAAACATTCGTTAGAACCTAGAGATGAATCTCTTGCCTTTGAAAATAAGGGACTAATTAGCTATGCATGTATTTTATTTTCCAGGGATATGAATTATTCTGTTTATCAGCCGTTAAAGGCTACTTGATCTTGAATTCCCCCCTTTGGTCAAAGTACACATTTCACTGGGAAGGATAGCATTTGAAGAAAGTTTCAGTCATTCAGCTAATTCCACATGGAACGTTACATGTTTAAAACAACCTTCTTAATGCTGTACTGGTGGTGTACACCGTCTGTATGATGAAGGGTTGGATTCCCAATGTCAGACTTCTAGACACTGCTTTAATGTGGAAATTTGAATGACAAATGGAGGATTATGTGCAAATCACTTTAATGGCTTCTTGATGCGGCATCATTATATGATATTTTGAATTTAACTGAGCTCATTAATAAAACCTGTGCTCATAGGGCATAATGGTTTTGTCTGACTCAATGTTGGCGCTGTTTTATTGCAAAATATTCACACTAGCAAATGTATATTAATTCAGTGTAATGTAGACTGTATGCCATGTTCGGATTTGCTGTAACATTTGGATTTCTTTAAAAAACAGTCTTTCCCCCCCTGCAATTATCTCATTTTAAAAATAGCTGTTAGAACATAGAGTTTGTTTTCATATTGTTCCAGACCAGGAGAAAACCTTGATCTTGTGTGCTTTCCCTTCAAGACAAAATTACGAGTCATTGGTTAATTACAGATTGCTATACATAGAGCTATTCTATTTGAAGGCCATTTTAACCAAAAGCACTTCAAATCTCTATTGGACTCCTAAAATTGTTTGACACCAGTCCTCATGGATTATTGTCATCCTCTCTTCCCAGTAAAATGTTCACCTTTGTTTAAATAACAGATCACTTTACAATGTAATTCTGGAAATTATCTTCGAACTGGGAAGTAGGAAAAAATAATTTTGGCCTTTGTCTTCTGCTTCTTCCCATCTTCAGATGGAATTAGCGTGAGTGGTCTTCCACTTTCCAGTCCGTTTCGACAAGTGATAAAGCCCAGGGTAGAAACTAAGCCTATCAACCCTTCAGAAGCAAGTAAAGTTGGTGACTTCAGTCATGTCAAGGTACGTGAGTAGTATTTTCATAAATAATTATGTAGCCTTCTTTAAATTTACTATGATGAATTGTGTGTGTTTCAGAGGTTCCTAAAGCTGTGAGATGAAACAAATTTTGCGTTTTAATGTCTTTCTCTCCCCTCCCCCCAGGAGCATTTCATGGTTGAAAATCCAGTCATGAAAGTGTCATAATGTAGCTAGATCATATAAAAACAAATTATATGTGGTACACAAATATTAAGGTGAAAATAGTTATCTGTTATAGTGTTCTTTGTTGGTTCTCTACTTTATGCTCGTCTTGCAAGGCTAGCAAAACATGAGTGGATTTGCTCCCAAAGTTGGGCTTCACATGATTGACTAGCTGTAAAGCTTATCCATGAACTCATTAATAATAATAATAATAATAATAATAATAATTTATCTCTCCTGCAGGAGACTCAAAGCAGCTTAACATAACAGCCCAAACAGTTTAGGGCTTTTTAGGTCATAACCTGCACCTTGAATTGGGACCAGAAACCTATCGTCATCCAGCGGAGCTGCTTTAATAAGGGTGTACATTAAAAACCATCAAAACATATTCAAAGTTAAAAACCACAACACCCCCTCACTTGATCTTAAAGCCTTCATCTTTAAAAGTTTGCCTGAATAAAAAGGTTTTAGCGTTAACACCGGAAGGACAACAGGGAGGGGGCCAGTCTGGCTTCCCTGGGCAGGGAGTTCCAGAGTTGAGGGGCAGCCACTGAGAAGGAAGGCCCACTCTCTCATTTCCATCAACAGTGCTTGAGATGGAGGTGGGACTGAGAGAAAGGTATCTTTTCAATGGCCCAGGATGGTTCTTACAAAAGGATGTGGTCAGCCACATAGCCTGGACCTGAACCATCTTGTAATAATAAACTTGTAATAGGCAAACTGTCTATGAGTTATATGTGCATGTGCAAATTGGGTCACAGGGACAGGGATGTGAGATTGGCAATAGAATTCTTACCCATACAGGAGGACTGAATGATAGAACATCATGCTTGAAGTATGGGTCCAATGTTCATGCCCTCGTCAGAGAGTACTTTTATAGGAGGGGTTTTTTTTTGTTTTTTGTTTTTGCTGTGGCACACTCCTCATCTATTACCTACAAGTGAGAGAAGTAAATTTGTATTGTTAAATGCAGATATGCCCATTCAGGTGAGTCTTAAAGCCCACTCGGCTTGAACATCTTGTGCCACTGTTGTGCTACAGCTTTTATTTGGGCTGATGCCAGTTTCAGAAAGTCTTAGAACTGGAGACGGATAGAGAGGAAATGCAAGGCATGTGAAGAGAGCCCTTTCCCAGCTGCTCTACTTGACTATCTTGGTGTGAGTTATTTTTCCTCCCATTCTGTGCCCTATTAGCAAGTTATCTGCTACACATTTATTGCTTGCCATTTATTTAGCTCTTCCCAATGGTGTATAGAGGGAGTGACACCTGGCCCAGGGACTAGGCTCACTAGGTGTCCATTAAGCTATGAGTTATATTTTGCATTTTTACAGATTTTCCCTCTACAGCTTATTACAAGTTCTTTCAATAAATAGGTCAGAAAATGGCCCTTTAGATCCATTTCCTTGTGTCTGACTCTTTATTTCATGATGGGAGTTCAAATCTCTGCTACATTTTTATTGCTTGCCATTTATTTAGCTCTTCCCAATGGTGTATCAACAGGTTTGTGATTCACCCCAGGTGCAGGAAATAAGAAAGCGCTTTGTTCCAGAAAACACATTTTGCATGTCACATTCTTCAGATGTGCTGATGCAGAGTTTTCATTTGAAACATTCTGAATTAAATTGTAAAATATCACAATATTTCGCAGTTACTGATATGTAGATTCAAATACTTTGTCTTTATTTGTTAATAAAGCTCTTGAGAAAAATGAGGTTGACATTTTTGTATAACTGTTGTTCAGATGTTACTATCAGTGGGAATTTATTGGGCTTACTTGTGGACAGTATTGCTACCACAGACCCCTAACCACTGTTTGCCAGTCATCCCTCTGTGCAGTTTCTGCTAGAAAACATTAGCATTGTCTTGTTCAGCTCTGGTAGCAAGGACAAAGGGTTGCCCTCTCAGTCTAGCTTAGTTATTGCAGAAAAGGAGACTTTAGCAGTTGCTACCACTTTACATCAGGTGGAACAAGAAGAAGTCAGTACATCAGGCAGGCTGGTAAAGGGATAAATGCTCCGTCCCTTTTAGAATCCAGATGAGCACATGCTGAGCCCTGAAGGTCTGCCTGATTAGCAGAGAAATTGGCTATACACAAGTAATACCTTAGAACAGTGGGTCCCCAGATGTTTTGGCCTTCAACTCCCAGAAATCCTAGCAGCTGGTAAACTGGCTGTGATTTCTGAGAGTTGTAGACCAAAACACCTGGGGACCCAAAGGTTGAGAACCACTGTCTTAGAACATATGATAAAAATCTCTCAAAGCTTCAGCCTTGTTGAAGGAGAAAGTGTTGTTGCATTGTGATGTGATTCTGGACTCTGAGGCTCTGGATTATTGGCTTTGTGGATTCTGAACTGCACCCTTGACTGCTGTATTTTGGTTTCTGTTTTTGGACTACTGATTTTGTTGACCTGAGACTGGATTTTTTGTTGTATTTGTTCCTGAATGAATTCTGAAACTCTTTTGGCATGGCTACGACTTGTATGTGTGTATGCTAAAACTACTAGCCTCTAACAGTTGGGGCTATTTTTGTTAATATACCGGTATTCTGTTTGTCTCATTGGTCGCATGGGAAGCCTTTGTTTGTTTAACCAGGACTTGGAGTAACACAATAGGCGTTCCTGTTCTAGGCAGAGTCTGGAAATACACGGGTAGTTTACATAATTTTGTTGCACCAGTGGGAGCCATAGGAACATAGCAACATAGGAACAGGTGCAAGTTGCTTCCGAACTGAGCTGAGCTAAGGAGAAATAATCCTATATTTTTCAACTGCTGTAAGCCAAGCATTCTCTTCTACACCCCAGAGATTCGTAACTAATGATTATAACAATTATAACAAAAGCATTCTACAATAAATTGTTAATAAATTGAGTTATTTTATTTCTGCTGCATTGTAAGATTAATTATTACAGAAAGCAAAACATAATTATCTAAGCACAGCTGGAGTTTTTTTTTTTGCTTTTGTTCACACTTCCAGAAAAAACACTTTCATAGACCCATCAGTAAAGTGCTTCCCAATCTTTTCTCCTCCCAGTCACCTAACTGTTCATTTCTATGCCTGTATTTTACTACTTCTTCTCAAAGTCTGTTTATGGAAGGCCCACTTGGATTTGAGAACAATGCTTGTAGAAAGCAAATGTTTCATATAGCCAGGATGATTGCTTTAAAATCCGTCATTCTTTTGTCATATATATTTGGGTTTCTTAGTGCCTGTAAGTAAAAGGAATTGTATGGGGTTTTTTTTCCCAGACAACATGATGAGGCCCTCTTCCAAGAAACAATTTAGATGAATGAGTTTTATCAATTCTTTGATAAACTGTAGATTACTCATGCTTTTTTTAACCTATATTTTTTGAAGGAGAAAATATAGTAGTGATTCATTTTCGAAAGCAATTAGGAAAATTTTCAAATAATTATAGAAAAGTTTGTGTGTGGAGTGGAGAAAGAATGCGCATAGTTGTTTAAAAAAACACCACAAATCACTTCTTATTTTGTCCATGTAATTAGAGCTGGATGATTGGAGAAATAAAATTTTAGGCATTCAATTCTGCATTTTGTGTATGTCATACTCAGGTTATTTTTTTATGTAGAAGATGACAGCAACAGCTGATTCTGAAACTAAAAGAAAATTCAAAACTTATTAAGTTTAGTCTCTTGCTAGAAATAATGAACAAATGACTGTAACAGTTTTCATCCTTACTACTTAATCTGCTGTGGTTGGATAGTATTTATTTCTTTATTTACAGTATTTATGTTCCTCATTTCTCACCCCAAAGGGAACACAGGTCGCATATATGGCAAACATTCAATGCCAATAATACAATGACAAGACAGACAACAGATAGAGGTGTATATATAGGCTTTCCCATCTTTTGGCATCTTTGGAGGCAGTGCTTGTTTCCTTCCACAGGGGGTTGCTGTTGTTCCATCTCCCTGCTGAAGAACTTTCTTTGTTAATAAAATTGCTCCTTTTCTGATCAAAATGCTGTGCCTAAATACCTCCCTTCTTTAATACAGTTTCTATTTATCTACTCACATTTGTTTTCGAACTGCTAGGTAGGCAGAAGTTGGCCTAAAGATCAGGAGCTCACCCTGACCTGGGCTTCGAACAGTCAACTTTCTGGCTGGCAAGATTTATTGCAGCTTGGTGATTAACTAAAGCCCAGCCCTAGTTGCCTTTTTAGATTAACGTTCTGACAAAATGTACGAGTAATCCTGACAGTAAGAAGCCACACTCTATCATTCATGTATGAATTAGTTTATGGTGTGTATAAGAATAAATTAATAGAACAAGCCTATTTTTGACATTCCTACTACGTGACTATATTGGCATTGTGATTCATGCTTAATCTTTTGGGTGTTCAACTGAGAGTGTCATCAATAATTAATATTTGAAAGCTTTGAAAGCTATATATCAGAGAAATTTGGACACTTTAGTGGATAATCTACTTTGGAAATTGATGAAAAAGAATGTGTCCCTATTGTTTCTCTTGAAGCACTAAGTGACTAGGATTTTTGATATTTCTTTGTCTAGGATTTCAGATATATCAAACTTTAAATGCTCAATAAAATTGCTATGTCTGGTTGATTTGGAGTTAGGAACTTAGTGTTGCAAATAAACCAATGACATCCAACTTGCTGTTCTTATCTAAATTCAAGGACCTCTTCACATTCTGAGTCCGTTTAGACCCCAATAAGTTGTTGTTATGGTGGTCATCATGGTGATGTGATTGTGATGGCTACCATAAAATAAACCTATTTTCTTAGTAAGATTTGTTCAGAATAGGTTTACTATTCCCCTGAGGCTGAGAGTATGTGTCGTG